GGAATAACTTTTTGTGTCTGCCCAATACGTGGACAACAGATTTGACTTTGCTTTGTCCCACCCAAAGCTGTAGGCTGGCTCATATCTGCCTCTCTCAACATGAGTCACTCTATTGGCACTGCAAACTATTTCCTTAACTGTATCTATGAAATCAAAAAGGTAATAGCAGCAGAAACTAATACTGTCTTTGCAGAAAACACTAATTAGTGTCTTGTGATTGCTACAGTGCTTACAATAAAAGGTTCTGCTGAAAGATAAGTGATTCAAGGTAGGTTTTTTCCGTAAATTAAATAACTGCCTAGGCTCAGCCCCCTGTTTGGCACTGTGGGTGTGGTTATTTTGGTTATCTTGACCTTCTTCAAAAACAAACAAAAGTATTTCCTATCACTGCAAAAGGAATTATCTGTCCAGGCTAAACTGACAGAAGAAAGTTTTTTTCTCTTTATAGGTTTGTCAAAACCCCCCAACAATTAGACTGTTGTGAGTTTATTTCTCGTGAGGGAAGAATACATGGGAAAACATTTTACATTCTCTTTTCAGTGGCTTTCAAAGGAAGGGTTCTGCTTGGAGAAGAAGAAATACCTTTATTTCTCCAATCTAGAATGTGTGTCCTTTCTGAGATGGAGGATTTTTCTGTTTCTCTGCTCCTCCTCTCAAGTGAAGTGAGTAAATCTCCAAGCAGCATCTTTGATCAAACAAAAAAAGGACACTCCAGCAATCCTCCCTCATCAAACTCAAGCTTTGCTGTGGCATGCCTAAATTACGAGGGACAAACAATCAGTTACCTTGTGTTTATTTGTGGTATTTAGTAAATGGGAATATGTCTTTGGATAAGAGACACAGTACAAGAAAAAATGTTTTGGTTTTGTTTTGCATAGATAATTCATTAGTTTCAATACTGATGCAAGTGTTTTATGGCAACAGGAAAGTGTTACATCATTTGAGCCTCCTCTTCCTGCAGAACAATACTAATACCAGGCCCTGTCCAAACAACCTTACAGGAAATCACAACCTCAGGGGTTTGAACACACAGGGTGTAGAATAGTTTTGAGGCCTTATTTGAACTCAGCTGCTCATAACCTTTGCTGTGATCCATACCCTGGTGATTTTGGTTGGAGTTTTTGTGGGGGAAAAAACCCTCATGGTTTGTTTTATTCAAAATCAGTAATGGGTTTAGTTTTAACACAGCATCTTTCTGTAAATTGGAAAGAGAGGGTTTTCAGAAGACATGAAAAGTACTTGTTTCCTTCCTAAGATTTTCAATTTTTCATTCCTTTTTTTGTTTTCACAGCACCTTGTCTTTTGCATAAAGCACCTGATCTCCTACTTAATCCCAGATCTTCCAAAAGATCTGAGAGATCGGATGAGGAGAGAAAAGTACCTTATTCAGGAAATGATGTATGAAGCTGAACTAGAACGTCTGCAGAAAGAGCGGAAGGAAAGAAAAAAGAATGGAAAATCTTATCACAACGAGTGGCCATGACGGGTGAGGAAGAAAGTACTTAAAAGAAGAACTCCGTTTATAAAGAATTCCTGGTTTTCTACTGTGGAGAGTGCACTAAAAGGAATAGTCAGTAATGTTGTGTGCACTTAACACATGTGGGCCCCTATTTAGTAGGGTGGATATTGTCATAAGCCTTTTGAAATTAGAAATCTTTGCAAGGCTTAGTCTTCTCCAGAGCTGATGTGAACGTAAGCACATCAGCCCAATGCTACGTCTCTGCACTCTTTCCAGGAAGCTCCCAGGCCCTGACCTAAATTCAAGGCCCTAAACTTCAAAGCAGTTATATATCTTGCAGTGCTTTAGAGAACTTGGTGATCTTACGGCTCATTCTCATGAGGTTGCTACTTCATAATCAGTGACTGCGCCTTGGCAACATGGCAGTACTTGTCCGTGTGTATGGCCACCACCTGCAGCACGTGCATGGCAGTGTTGCTCTCTTCCACAGTGGACTGGACTGTGCTAGTTTGCATTTGCCACCAGTTATGGTCACACATGTGGACCATTTCCATTGCTCAACAATATTTAGGAAGAGATGCATGATCATGAGTCTGATCAACTGGTCTAACAATGCTGAAAAATGTAGGCATGCAGAAGTGCTGACAGATAGCCAAGCATCTAAATGTGGCCAGAGGTATTTAACTGTAGGGTCATTTGTTTGGAAATGATACTGTGCAAAGTTGGTAATATATTTTAAATATTTGAACAGTGCCTTTTCAGCTATAGGACTGTCTCGTGTCTGAAGGAATCAAATCAGGTTAGGGCATCTTGCCCAAAACTGCCCATGTATTTGTATTGCAAGACCACATTGAGCTCTAGTCAAGAATTAGGATGGATTTATCCAGAAGTCAGACTGTGTCTTAAAGACCTATTTGCATAAGTATAACAAACAAAAACAGACAAATGAACAAAGTTATCAGAACAAAAGAACACAATCATCCTAAATATCTACACTTGTAACACTTTCTTCATTCATCCTTCCATTATCTATAAAGGGGTGGAGGGGAAAAAAATAAAACAAGACTGTAGTATGAAATAACTTGAAATCCTTTATGCAGAGCAATTCTACACAGGCTGCAAATTAAACTTGTGCAAAATAGGCTACTGTCTATATCCTTTAGGAAATTCCCTAGCATTAAGAAATTAAAAATTTCCCAGACCACTAACCCAAAATTGTGGAGTTGTAGCTCTGAAGACTCCATAAGTGTTGTATGGAGCAATATGAATCAAAAACTCTTCCATCAGTTGTTTCTACAAGTTATTCTGGAAGTAATTTGATAGAAGGACTAGAATTTGCCCTTCTGGACAGACCACACAATGCAAGACCCTATGGATGGATACCTCAAGCTTCACAAGACAACAGGAGCACTTGCACCAAGAACCATATCACCAAATTAGATCTATTGTCTTCTTTCCACTGTAAGGGAGAACTGTGCTATTTCCATGAAGGGGGAAAGCTTTAATGAAAGGTAATATGACTTCAGGAAGGAGAGAGTTGGAAGAAAATACGTGTACCCTCCTCTCTGTAGCCACTGCCTGCCTACACTTTTCTTCCTTGTAGCAAGAAACCTCCTCCAGTAGTGAACCACCTTCCTACATGAAGTGGATAAATGACATAGCAACTCCCTTTTATCAGCTGCTCCTGGGCCAAGCCTGAAAGTCCCATGAGGCAGCATAAGCACTGAAAGAACTTCAGGATTAGTGCGTGTTGACTCAGTGCCAAACGGAGTGGGGAGCACAGCTAGTGGTTGTAGGGCATATTCCTGACTAATGGGGAAGTGAACTTGTTCATCTTTGCTTCAGCTTACAGCAGCTGCAGACACATCCCGCGTGGACAGTGGTGAAGTAGGATGTTTTCTGTCTCTGTAGATAGGGTGTAGGGATTAGGCAGTGTTGATCTCCAATACACACATGCCAGATGTGTTAGTATTTGCCATCCACCATCTACAGTTTTGTACTGCACTGGCAGTCTGGGGACTTTTGGGCAGGATCGCTGTGCAAAATCATATTCAGACCAAATTCACATGAACAATTGGGTTTGCTTACCCTCTGTTTTATACCTAAACCAACAGATGACAAGAGCTTAGAAACTGTTTGCTAAGTAGTAAAGTAAGACGAGTCATGCATAAAATTGTGGTTACCCATATGAGTGTGAACCTTTGCAATCTCCTGCAGTAAGATACAGCTTTTTTAACTTAGTAACTTCCAAGATCTCAACTGAAACCCAGTAGAATATAAACTGACTTTCACTCCAGAGGAACCACTTCAATAAAATGTGCTGAAACAAATAAAGTGCAGCAGAAACACAATGGATATTAATTGCTTTTGAAAGTAGTTTTTAACCTAGCTACATTATGATGAATTTTCCTGACAATACATTGCTAGAAGTTGTGTCCCACTCTGCTCTAAATGAGATCATAGGTTGGCTGCTTGCCAAGCTTACACTAGTATGATGCTGCAAGGGGCTCTGACCTCCCTGGCAGACCCTGAGTACATTTCTGTCACTTCAGGTTGACCAGTCAACCCATCGAGGTTTCTCTGCTGCTGGTGTGCTGAATAGATTTCCCTGGAGTCCTTCAGAGCTATATAGCAGAACACTCAGGAAAGATGCCCTCTTTATTTATTAAGAAAACAAAAAATAATAGGACAATAATAATAATAAATGGAATTTTAATGGTCTCTAGATAACTAATTTATGCCATTCCCTTCCTGATCTGATGATAGGTTTTGCTTAAACCTCCAGGTGACCATCCTGTATGTTGTTTACTTATTCCAGCTCCACAAGAGCACTACCTTCATGGGAATGAGAAAAAAACCCAACCTCATTGCATGCCACAGACATGTTACATAGCAAGCAGGACAGCACACACATTAGAGGATTTACTGTGAAATCATCTTGCAATCAGCGTAGGATTGATCTCCATAGACCACTCTTGACAGCAGCATGTACTTCATGAGCAGTTACACACCAGTTTTTAAAACCAAGGAAAAAATTGTATATTGGGACTGTTTTTCAGCCTGTTTGCTATATTTTTTGCATTCTGTCCCATGCTGGTTTTACAGATCTCAGAATAAAAAGTGTAAATGAACAACCTGGATACTTTGACAAAAGAAAAATCTAGGTACAGAACATCATCTGCATTCAAGCCACCAAATACTATGACAGAAACCATGTTTACAAATCAGGTTTTTTTTATTTTAAATCTTTCTGAGGGGAGTTACATTATTTACCATATATATAATATATATATGAAGTATATAGAGAGATTGTTTATTTGTAAATAGAAAAATTCTATAGAGAAGAATGTCAAGTTTTCACACTTTAAAAAAAATCATCAACATAAAGCCATGTTTAATGCTTGTATAATGTGATATAATAAACTTTAAAATAAATTATGCATACGAAAATTTACTGGTTGGGATTCTTTACTTCATTTTCTATCTACCTTATTTGTTCAGCAAGCAAACAGACCAGTCAGGTAGAAGCAGATATCAGTGCAGCCCTAAAAGAGCCAAAACCTACCAGTGCTTTCTCTCAGTGAATCTGTTGTGTATTCACATAGTCAAATATTGTTCCTGTTAGGGTTGTTGGGGTTTTTTTTAATATTTCTACTTAAACAGGTTCCTCCTTGTTTTGTCTTGTGGGTCTGATGCTGCGTGTGATTTGGACAGTGTGGACTGCTCCCACAGAATTAATTAGTTTTGAGTAACCCACATATCTTTGTCAGGTAAGCTTTTAGCTGGAAGCGATTAAAGATCGGGGTGCAGGAGTGGGATGGAGACTTCAAAAATTATCTTGCTTCTTTTACATAGACAAGGAAGGCCCTGGCTCAGAGTCCAGCTAGCAGAGGACAGTATATGATCCCAGAGAAAATACTATTCAAAATTAATGAATTGCTTTAATGAATGATGCCAATTAAAACAAGAAGCAGATAGAAAAAAATTAAAGCAGAGTCACTTTGTAGCTCTGCAGCAGTCATGGGAGATTAGTTAGCAAGAAACAGAGTAGTTGCAGAGGTCATCTGCAAAGCTTAAGGATGTTTGTCTCTAAACCACTTACAGCAAGATATTCTTCCCAGTGAAAACTTATCTTTATGTTATGATTGTGGACTGATAGATACTACCTAGCCCAAACTTTCACTTAATACCAAAATTAGAGTTAAATGACTGCTCAGTGCTCAAATAGTGACTTCAAGCAACAAAGGGGAGGTAAGATGGTAATTTATGTGTTTTCTCTTTTATAAACAAGTATGGGAACTTTTAAACAAGTATGGAAACACTGAGAAGAAAACTCTATGTTGCTACATTTTTTAACTATGATAACCAGGAAGATTAGTCTTCATGAACAAAACAGGTAGAAGTTACAGATGATCTAAGATAGCTTAAGGCAGCATCAACTACAGCACAGTGATCTCAGCACAGAGTGGTGCAGAAAGGACATGCTGATGCTGTTTAACACGGGAGTGACCAGTCAGCCTCAGGAGAAGCATATTCAGATGGGAATTCAGCATCTGTGTTGGGAAGGCTGTTGCCATACCAGCAGGCACACAGGTCAAGTGCTTGCTGCAGGCTTCTGTTCTCTGTTCACAGCTTTACTCTCTCTCACAAAGCACAGGTACACAAGAGGCACACTGGTCCACTTCGGCACTCTGCAACAGCATGGAGATACCAGTACTTACCCTTTTTCAGATCTGTGGGCTGAAAGTACCTGGTAAATAAAAATTTTTATATTCCAAGGCTCAAGAACTATTCCGTACCACAGAATGCCATATCTATTTCTCTGTCATGAAGACAAGGTACAAGGCTGAACAAGATAAGGCAGTTATCTTCTGAGACTCTAGAAGCATATCCAGCTCATTCAGTCAATGGGCTAATTGTCTCAGAGTGACTAGGATAGTCTCAGAACAGAGAGATTCCTGTCGCGAATCTCAGGACACTTTATTCAGGAAGCTATTGTTTGTCTCAGATCCTAGATATAGGGACACAAGACATAACTCATGAGATGTATCTCTTCACTCATACCCCTTCCACACAGCAGCTTTAGGCAATGACCTGAACACAGAGCTGCAGCAGAGGAATGTGAGACAAGGGTCCTAAACTCTGGATTAGATCATGCAAACCAGTGCTTCAGGAGGCAAAGGGGAAACCTGCCCCAGTCTCATAGTTTTGTGCTGGGTTAGCCAAGGGAGTCATGTCCTTGGTGACATCCACACAGTGCCCTGTTCTCCTCTAGTAGAGGTCTGGTCCTTGGAGCCCATTTTTTCATCCTCATATTTTCTGATCCTGATAGTTCATCTTACGCAGTAGATCATAAAATGCCCTCTGTCACAGGGGCACAGAAAAAATTTGATTTAGATGCTAAAGGGTCCCAGTCAAGGTAGATAAGCTAGCACTGCATCATATTCCAAGTTAAAGCAGTTCAGTACTTGGCACAAATGCAGCATAACTTTTAGAAAGCATTTAAGACATGCCATCAGTTATCAGTTTTTCACTTGATTCTCAAGCATGACTGCTCAACTTTCCCACAATGGCTTTTATTTTCCAACTTGATTCTGCTGATGTAGAGAAGTTTTAAACATTCTTGTGTACCCATAGTAAAAGTCTGAAGTACAAAACCAACACAGTGGGTCAGAATCTATTCCCTGCTGTACCAAAGAGTGTGCAGGAGAAGGAAGTAGTGGGGGCTTTCACCCTCCCAAAACACCAGCACAGTGCAGGGTCTGTGCACAGAAGCTGTTCAGCTTCTCTTGGCAGTCCAACCAGATCACAAGCCATTCCATGGCCTGCAGCCCTGGAGAAGCCTTCACCAAATGACATCCTCTGTGATCCCTCCCCTGTCCTGCAGATGGCTTTGCCTGCCTGCCAAAACACACAGCGTGCTCTTGCCTGAACCGACCTTGAACGTGAATCCCCAGAGATACAAGGACTGCCTGAATACAAATGAGTACGTGAAGTTTCAGCTCACAGTTCTGGAGATAACAGCAGTGGCAACCGCAGATGCAGCCTTCCCTCTTGTCCAGTACAGCCAAAAGGGCCCTCTTCTTTATTAACATCTCTGCCACACTATGCCCAGTCCAGAGCAAGAGCAATCCTAGGATGGCACATTGGGCATGAAGTAGAAGAATACAGTGGTTCTACTCTACCGTATTGAATAAAAATCCCAATAACTCATTTCCTTCATAAGCACAAGCTCTGTAAGGGCAAGATAGGGCAGAAGAGGGAGATGGACTGTGAAGGGGACGACAGTACTGACTCTTGCCTCTACCCATCAACAAAGTCACTATTGTATCTTCCAGCAGTGAGCACAGAGGAGGAGATGCAGGTAACCAAGGAACAAGTGGCTTAATAAAAACAAACAGATGATGAAACCAGCAAAATAAATACACTCTCAGGATCAGTTCTACAAAGTAACCAGATGGCATTAAATACAGCTCCCGTACCAAAAAAAAAGAACACTTGTTTCCTGCAATCTGATAGTCCCACAACCCTAATCTCTTAATACTTTCAATGCCTTAAAAGACAAAAGAAAAACACAAACCAGAAAAACAGCCATGTCTGGGGGAATAGTACTCTTCCCAAACAAAAAATTTACTCTGAGGGTGAAATGAGATTGAAAGCAGGTATTTTCCAGGAGGCTCAAGAATATCTGGCAAATATTTCACATAGAAACATTGCCTTAAACCCTGTCACCAAGATCCAGAGTGAGAGAGTGAGGAAGTACAAGAAAGACCTGATTCCTTTCTTGACTAATGTCAAGGTCATACCAGGGCAACGGTGCCACAAAGCTCTGCAGATGCCTGCCCATGACCCAAGCAGAGCTGGTAACCGACCCAGAACAGGAATGTCAACAGTGCTTTGCATGAGGAAAACTGTCTTCGTGGGCTGACGTTGCCTTGTGTCACATATGAAGACCATTGACTTTGTTCTTATCACTTGCAACATCCATTTCAATGTGGCTGAAAGCAGGATTATCAGTTCCTTCGTCTGCCATGGTAAATGGTTTACAGTTCAACACTTCCACATTCTCTGGCTAAAAAACAAAAGACAAAAGCTGTGCTGTGAAGCAGAAGGAACAGTCTTCCTCTTTGACCTGCATGCCAGCAGTCAGTCCTGACATACAGGGTGCCTTGCGGGAAAACACATGTTGGCTGCTGACAGAGCACAAACACTTACTCATTGCAGTAGATGGTATTTTTCAGGGGCATGGAAAGTTTCTTATTGCATAAGGTACTAGTTGTGTAAAATGCTCTTGTCACATAAAATGTTCTTGTCCTGCAAATTGGCTGAAGTGGCTTTGGGAGTCCAAAGTTCTAATTGCTGTTTTCATGTCTAATGATACCAGGTCTTTGAGCTCTTTACTCCCAGCCCTTCATCCTTGCCCCATTTTTGACAGGAAGAGCAGATTAATATGCATCATTGCTTTGATGTTCCATTTCTGTTAAACATAATGGATGTTGAGCTCTTCATGTGCAGAAAGTTGCTCAGTTCACCCTGTCTTTTTTATCTCAACAACTTTCTGCATTATTTGTGATGCCAAACCACTTGTTATCCAGCTCTTAGCCATATAAAAGACATACTTATTTCTGACTCCAGCCATAAAATAAGTATGGCTGTGGACATTAGCTTCCACGTGGGTGGTGGATTGTTTTTTTTTGCAAAAGACTTCCAGAATTAAATTCCCAGATAGTGGAAACAGATGTTGGCCCATTAAAGACAGTGAATAACAGTAACTCAACAGCTGGCCTCCAGTACTGACATAGGCAAACAGCATTACAATAGCATGGTAAAAAATCCCTTTCTTTCACTGGTGTTCTGGTTTTCTTATCCCGAAATTGAAATACATAGGATCATACTAAAAGGAGTTGTCAGTATAGAGGACAAACAGTTTGTAAGCTGGACCACCTCAAAGATACAATCACTGCCTATAGTGCAGCACCTGAAAAGCACTGAACAAAGCTAAGCTTGAATGTTCAGCTGATGATATTGATTGAAAACTGATCTGTAGTTTATTTACAAAAAAAATAATTCTCCTGTATTGTCCCTTCTAAGAGATGTTATTACCCAATAATGCCTCCCCTTTTCTTTTATCTCGGGGAGGGAGGTAGGAAACAGATACACTGACTAGAAATGTTTTCTCTCAAACAGTAGCCAAAGTTACAAAAAAATCCAGACTTTAGAGAACATACATCTACAAACAAAGGAAGCTTTGATGAATCCAAAGTGTGCCTTGAGGCATCTTCCAAGAGGCTAGTTAGGGAGTATTTTAGCAGAAACATAGAGAACAACTGTCCCTTTTCTCAGTTGATGCTCTGTTGCTGACTGAAGTCAAGCTGTGGCAAAACATAGCTTCCTTGCCTATGGGAGTTGTCTTACTCCTACCAACCCTGTGCTCTGATACTGCCTTAAGGCAGATAGTCATATCAGGCAGCATCAGGTGCTATTCATCCTGGTGGGAAAAAGCAAGATGAAGACTGTTCGGCTTTGTCCACGGGAGGAAAGATTGATTTAAATCAAAGATGCACAATTACACTTACTGTCTCTGAATTATATATGGAGAAGTTGGACAGGAAATCTTCCTTGGTCAGCAGGAATTTACGATCTGTGTTCTGCTTTAGTCCTCCTGCAAAACAGACAGGTTTCAGTAGTTTCTTTACAAAGATATATATCCTGCACCTCCCAATATACAAAATGATCCCTCAAGGTCTATTTGAAATGCCTTAGCCATTTCCCAGCGTCCTAGGTCCTCCTCAGATTTCCTATTTTGGAAAAAAACATAGAATCTGCCAATGATCAGAATGAATCACATATGATTATGTCTGGGATTACCCTGCCAGTCCAGGAACTGTGCTGCCCTGGGCCCTGAGCCCCAGTTCTCAGCTCCTTGTCAGCAAGACTCCTGTCTCCAAACTCACCAGCAATTTTTATAGTGAATTATTTAAGGGCAGCCATAATGTGGGGGGATGAAGGGGAGGAATGTTTGGGCATTTTTAAGGCATGGAAGATTATCTATCCTTGTGAGGAAAATAAAGGAGATGTAAGTGTTGGGAATTAGCTCTGCTTGCCACCTGAGGCTTAAATGGGATCTTGCTCCACAAGAAGTAGGGTGACATTGTCGTTGGGTAAGTTCTTTTGTGTTTCTCTTTCTTAGGCTCAGTATTCCTCATCTGGATTTACTGAGTTGTCTGGTTTTCAGGCTTTATTTCATGGCCTGTAAGTAACCTGATCCCAATCTGGTAAAAAGCAAAATTTGGCTGCAAGCATCACTATAGCAATGGGAAGAGCATGGGATTGGAAGAAAGTGGGGAGCAAATCTTATAAACACTTAAAAGGAAAAGGGTAAAAGTGTAGCTTGTACTTATTAGTTGCAATGCAGAGGGAAGCTAATGGAAGTGAGTTTATTTGCTGAGTTTGGAGTTTCATAGCTGTGGATCAGACTAAAAGTTAGAAATCTAACAGCCTTGAAGTTTAGGGCTGTCATAGGAATCCGACTGGGGATACTGGGCAAAGCTGTGAAAGCAGCTGCTTTTTTGATATTTCTGCCATGCGTGAGGTGGATGACAAGTGCGCGTTGCACCTCACCTGGATGCAAAAGTAGTGAGGCCACAGGCTGGAGCTGAACTCCTCACTCTTACCCATGGGGTGCTGCTTTTTCCCTTGCGCAAAAGGACTGGGAAACAGAAAGAAGCTAACATAGCCATGCAGCTCTTAGGCACATTCTCGGGGAATGTGGTGAAAAGCATGCACTATATAGGTGCAGGCAATAACCCATGAGTGCTCTGAACTCACTGAAAGTAAAAGTGCTTTTGTCCTCTAGAAGCATGGGTGTATTGTCCTTGCTTGGAGTTGTTGATGTTCAGGGACAACCCTTAAACCTCCAGCCTCTGCTGGCATCTAATAAAACAGGAAAGACAGACGTCTTACACTTTTTTTTTCCCCCCTCAGGTTTAAAAATATGCTAAAACTTGTTTCTCCTCAGAAACTTGAAGTAACTTTTGTTGTAAGCAGAGACCAAGAAGGGCTGAGGGGAGGAAATTACATTTAGGATGGTAACACAGTGCTTGCAATAGGTCAACAGCACTTCCTGTGGCAATGACAGCTCTCTGGTCGTCTTAGTTTGACAGAGATCTAAGACACGTTCAGTCACAGCTTTGGAACTAGTACCTGTTAGGAGGCTGATAATTATTCCCACAACTACTGTGATAAGTGTCCCAAGTGTGCTGAAGTAGAGGTAAGACAAGGAATACCAGTTGTCTGCCAGGGCAGGCCTGAAATAGAGCAGAAAAAGTGTTAATCTTTCTTTCCTGTTCCAAGCACTTTGAAAATGTCTGTTTCCAGACAGTCTATAAATACAGAGTTTCTTCTGAACCAAACAGCCTGGTAATCTTGAACTACCTCCATACAATAATATGTGCATTGCAAATTTGTTTCAAAATTCATAGGACAAGTTCCTTCGCAAGAAAGGAGGCTGGTCAGTACAGTGAGGCAACGCATGAGACAGAGCAGGTGAAACAGGACAGTCCTGTCTTTGTTATGAACCAAGGGCACAGTTGAACACTCCAGTTATCCAGATTAAGGGATTGTTTCTTTCTGAAGGGTGAGGTTATTTAAAGGAAGGGACACAGAAAAAAAACACACGAGGAAATCAACCCTGTACAGCCCTAAACAGCCAGAAACAATAGAGCAACTGTCTACATCTTATTTTGTTCTCCCTGACTGTGTGCTCTGTCACAACAGCTGCTTCCCTGCAGTCAGGAGCAATGCTGGAGGTCTCATGCAAGAGGTGTAGTATATGAAACTAATGCTGGGCACCCATGTGTGTATCAGGGTACCTCTTGACTGTGCAATGCTCTAAGGGGTAAGGATTTGGAAACCGTACAAATGTCTTTGTTCAGTTTCTTTCTGTTCCTGCTGTTCCCTATATTGCCATTCATAACTGTTTAATTTAATTGTGACTGTCCAGAATAAGACATATGGTAATTGAAGAATGGAGGAAATTCCTTGTGTTGTGTCCTTTGTATGGATTACAACTTCTGAACTTCCTGAATAGAACTATTCTGCATAGACAAGTTGCTGTAGGTAGAGCTGTTAAACTGGCAAATTGCCCTTTAAATGCCTACTCCTTTAATTTATGTGACAGTCTGTGGAAGTTAATCTAATAACTATAAATGTTATTTTTGTTTAACACTGTGGTTCACAGTAAGGCATATCCAAGCCTTTAGACTCAAATATTGAATTGAAGCTTTTCAGATCAATAGGAAGATTCATTTTGACTTCTGTTCTGTGATAACTCAGACAAACTTCATTTTCACAGGAAAATAAAAAAAAAAAAAACCAGAAGAAACTTCTGCATCTTAAATAGCATGGTAGGTAAACCAGAGAGGAATAGTTATAGTAACTCAAATGCTCTGCAGATGTTTGTGTTGCTTTAAAACAATTACACATTTGCTGATTGCACTTGATGAACTCATATACCTCTCTGCAGTTGGTGTGCTGAATATTGTTGTTAATGGAATTTCTGTTGATGTTATATTTCCTGAAGATATATTACAGCCTGCAGTTGAGAGATATAGTGGCTTGGTCCTCTCTGGGAGTGGAGGATAAATCTGAGATCCAATTCCGACCCAAAGTGAAATAGCGAAGCCACTGACAAGACCCACAAATGCACCCTGCAAAATAAAAAATGAAACTTGGATTTACATGAAAAGCATAAGGATTTTGAAAGAAACAACTAGACAAGTAAGAAACAGTCAAGATAATCTAAACTGTAGGCTCCATGGCAGAAATGAAATATACAGTTGGGAAGAGCTGGGGACTTTACTTCATTCCCTTTTTGGGACATACAATGTTTCCTCACAGATCCTGAGCATACCTCTTTTTATTTGGCCACTAGATCTTTATAATCAAAGGATAACTTTGGCCTGCATAGTATATGGGAAAATCCTGCATTATCTGAGACCCTCCTTGAACAAACACAGAAGCAATTTTTCCATTTTCTTACCTGACCTGTTTTTGTGAAAACTCTCTCCTACATCAGGCATAGGTGGATTTTTTGGCTGACACCTTGTGATTATTTTTTTTTTTGTACTTTAGTATATATATAAAATTTGCAACTGCAAAGAGACAAAGCTTAGTGATTAGTGAACATCTCAGGATTACTAAATAGCAATCCTGCCAGACTATCCCATGGACCATATTAACAAAGTTCGTAAAATCCTTTTTTGATGGAATAGTGTTTTCCTCTGGAAATGATAATTTCACAGTACTGAAGCACTCTGAAAATACCCCAATTTGGGCTGCAAGCCCTTAGGCCTCATTTTTCCAGCCTGACCCCCTTTTGCTCAGACAGGCCAGCATTCTCTCAGCCTATTGGTTGTTCAGCTACATGTCAAGATGCATTGTTCCCTGCTTCTAAAACTATGGTTTTAATAAATCCTTGTCATAATTCCATTTTTATTCAGAATATTTTCCCCCTTCTGGACATGTAAATCTCTTCGTGGGATGGAAATTTAAGAGTCTATACGGTCCTATTCATCATTTCCTTAGGAAAAAGAAGAAAGGGAGCAAAGTGTAATGTCCTCACGGGAAGTACCAAAGACATCTCCGTGCTGCCCAATATATTGGTGGAAGAGGATGAAGGAGATGCCCAAAATTGTCAAAAAATTTTGGACAAACAGGTCTTTAAATTTCTACTTACAATTCCATTTGCAAAGGAGCAGAGGATTCCCAAGGCAAACAATCCTAAAAGGGGGCCACCGACCATGCCAAAAATGCTGAGTGCTGCCTGAGGAAGGAAGGGAGTCTGCTATCAGGTGCTGTGCACAAAAGGCAAAGCCTCCAAAGTGACAAGAAGGGAAGACATTGAAAAAGAAATCATGAGAATTTTTTTTAACTGGTGTGTACTCAGCTGCCAGGTATAGTTACATGGATGCTTAAAGCAGAGGTTGAGCCATGGGTGGTTTGAGGTCAGTACCCAACAAAGAATAAAACTAATCTCATAATGGTATCCAGCAATTATTTTCTTACATAATTCATTCTGGATCATTCAACATGGGCATGAAAAAGCTGTCTGACACTTACCTGCAACAAGGCTCCCAGGAGAGATGCCACCGCAGCCATAGCAATGCAGACTCCACCGTAAAACAGGCCTGTGTGGGAAAAGCAAAACAATGCTCAAATCTGCCAAAGTTTGAAAATCAGTAGTAGAAAGGTTTATGTCTAACCCAGCATGGCCTCGACATCTACAAGATAAACCTGCTAGTATCTAGATTTTTAATAAGAGAGCCTGAATTGGCCAAAAGGTCAGCTTTCCGTTTACATTAAGAGGAGAACATGCAAACTTGACAAAATCTTCTTCCTGTATAGTACCAAAGATTAGTTACTAAATGGTAGCCATATGGATTAGTCATAGTGGCAATAACACGTATTATTTATATTCCTCAGCTAATCTCCTGTGTCATTGTCCTTATTTTGAGGGAATGATTTTTGCTTCTCAGTCTAAAGTCTTTGGAGCAAAAAAGTAAATGCTGGTAGATTACTGGGAGCTGGCACCATGACAAAGAACATCCTGGGTCACCAGGATGTCTTCCCAGGACTCATAAAACTGGATTACTTATTTTTTCCACCTCCGTCCCTGGTGAGTTTCTCTGCATAAGCAATATGTTAATCTCACTGTTTAATGTGATGTGTCAGGCAACTCATGATATGACAAACAACAATTTTGGCATAAGCATTGTTTGCAATAATGTTTAAGAAACTTCCCTCAGGTGAAAATATTTAATACTTGTTACCCTACCATCAGTATGTTGTGCTCACTGGTATGGCCTGTGACACCGTGTTGGAACTGTGGTATTTCCATGCTTACTACAAACACTTTCCTGGGCTACACCTGCAGCTGGACACAGACAGTACAACTAGCAGACATGGCAATTGCACTTCACAGATTTAAACCATCTGCTCAGCCTAGTTTTGATCCTCTTAGAGCTACATTAAGCAGAGGAGCTAAACACAGTGACAGTCGAAGAGTATATCAGAGAAGATATGAAGTTTCTCATTCTCTGGAATATTTCTGGGACACAATGCTATTGCTTGCGTATCAGTTCAAAAGGTTTATTAGAAAACTGTTTCCTATGCTTCTCATTTTTGACAAATGAAAGAAAAATAGCTAAGACATTTGGGTTTGTAGTATTGCAAATCAATATTGAACACAGATGCAGTGCATCTTTCCTGCTTAAAGACCTAACAAGATTCTTTTTCTTAAACTCAGTTATTCCCCATTTGTGTAAAACCTACGCAGGTGATCTTGTCTCCCCCAGATGTTGCACCAACATAGTCCCACTACTGTGAATTATTTACTCCTGACTTACACTATCATAAGAGAGATCTGAATCAAGCCCTCATTTCATAAAGCAAAAGCAGAAAAGATGTTTTCCAGACATACTCATCCCCATGGAAATCCATGACAACTTCTTTTCAGAGAGCGATCTGAAGTAGGGCTTGATGAGGTCTTCAACAGTCACGGCAGCCAGAGCATTGATGCTGGAGGACACCGTACTACAGAAGGCAAGATTTATATAATTTTTTTTTATCTTATAATCTGAAGTCATAGATAACAGGTGGGTTACTGGCAGAGAGAAACTGCCACTGTCTAGAACGGTGTCAGAAAACTAATGTAACTGCTGTATTGGTCAAAATTCCAGGTGATGCAGTTAATAGTTTACAAAAATTGTTTAAAAAAATTACTCTTGGTGAAGATGAAGAAAATTCTGATGAAAAGTTGAGCTGGGCCTGGAGAAGTCAATGAAAATATTTATGGCAAAGCTGTAAACACTACTGGTATATATTATACCTTCATAAATGATCTACAGTATATATCTATGAAGGTAAAATTCCCACTTACTTACTTTGAACTCACTCTGAGAGGAGGATTCAGATAACCTAATTATGGTCATCTAAAAATTAAGGATCTAATTGATGAACTATTGTAGGCTCCCTGTGGGGTCAGAGAAACCAGCACTCCTAAGGCATAAAGTCAGACTGGTGATCTTGTGTCTGTGTACCTTGTTCTTGCAAGCCACCAACTTTTCTTCAGCATGTGAAAACAATCTTGGTTGTTCCCTCTATTTATGTAGCTACAAGTACTGAGAACAAGACAGTTTATTCTGGTGTCACATTCATAAGTTTCTTCATTTTTATCTGCCTATTCAAAGAATTCCTTGGGATAGACAATGTTTCCTAAAAGGTACTCGTTGGGAAAGCGAAACAAAACACTTCACACTATGGAATAGAAGGGTATCAATTTGTCTCCTACAGTAAAAATATATAGTGATTGTTGTTTCATGGGATTCATTCAAGACAATCAGAAGCCCAGGAACCCTGGAAAAGAAAACTCTAAAGGTGAGGAAAGGCAGATGGCTTATGTTATGCAGATTTGAAACTGGAAAATTAAAGGCAAGCAGTAGGAAATTTCCCCAAATTGTAGCTATTTGGTGTAACTACCCATTTATAATACTCAAAAATTCCTATAGCACAGGGGCTTTAAAAGCACAGCACAGAAAGGGGGATTTGTTAGTGATATACATCACACATAGCTAGCCATTTCCTCATGTTAATAGGGAAATCCAAGCAGCTTTGAGTCCTAGGACCTCAGAGCAGCACTGTTGGAAACTATGGATTTTTAAGGTGCATCATCAGAGATGTTATAGTGCTTTTTTTGAAGAATAAAAATTTGCAAGATAAAAACCTGAAATTCTAAAGTTTTAATATAAATGGAACTTTAGCTCCAACAAAAAAAGGAAGAAAGATAGTAGTTTCTAAATTATTAAATTACCTTAATGTCCCACTGTAGGCACTAGCCACAAAAAGCCCCGGCACTCCTGGAAAATCGCGCAGGATATCCAGCACCAGGTATGGCATTAGCTGAAAAATTCAGAGTAAGAAGTATTATCACCTTGCCCTAATTTTTCATTTTATCACTGTATTATTTTTGTTAATAGACCTTCTCACTGGCATTCTGTCCAGCTGTTCTAATTTTTCATGTCCCACCTTGCTCCGATTATTGGTTTTCTACAGAGAAAACTTTGTTTCCAGTGACAATGGTATAGGAAGCTCGTGTTGGGCAGCAGGTAGTCTGTTGAGGGGATTGGATGCCACAGTAGATGCTTTTTCTGCTGTTGGCTCCACAAAAAGGTTTTTACATACAGTCCAATAACCTCAAGGTACCTGAAAACAATGTCGTTATTGGAAACTGTGAGATATTTTTTGACCTTTGCAACATTTGAGGGCTGGAAAGAGAGAGGAATTTTAAGATTTTCTTTCTGAGAACCATTTATTTTTTCACAGAGAAGTTGGTCTTCTTAGTATCTTGCTTCCAGTTTCTACCAAAAGAATTCTACCAAAAAGTAGATTTCCTTCAGGTTTCCACCTTGGCTCTCATTTTATTTTTCCCTTAAAGACCAGGTGGTCCTGCCTCAGGTGCTCCATTGTCTGTGCTCTTCTCCTGGCCTTCCAGCTTACTGTACATTGGAGCGTTATCCAGAGCCTGTGATTATCTTAGCCTTAAACATGCAAATAAAAGGCATTTGATTTCCATGGACCCTGACTCTGGCCAGTCTATGGGCTCCCAGAACTCTTATTCCTCAGGTAAGTCTGCTGCTCAAGGTCTATTTAGGGAGAGGTTGCCATCTGTGACGAGGTGGTTTCTCTGCAGCACAGTTTGATTGCCCAGCTCTCCTCCGAAGGAGGGAAGCATGTTCCATCACTAGTGAACAACTGCCTGCTGATAGCCTTCCTCCAGGTGTATGCTTTTGGCACGATAATGTTTTGAGTCTGAAAAGGCTTTTGCTTTCATCAGCACAGAGCAATTTATGTTGGGTGACACACAGCAGCTCACCAGGACTCACAGCCACTCACAAGGGCAGTGCTGCTCCAGCCTCTTCCCTTCACTTCTCTTCAAAGCAGTTTCATGTAACGCTGACATTCCTGGGCCCATTTTGGGTGAAAAAACCAAACATTTCCAGAGAAGGGTGGACTGAGCACTCTCTACAGTGATGCTCTCCCTGCTGCCCTCCTTAGCAAGCACTGAGGGACCTGTAGCTCCAGCACAGCTGGAGGATGCAGGGACTGAGCAGTGACAAGGATGGACCTGCTGCTTTCTCCAGGGTATTTCCTCCCACTGTGGTCTCAGCTTAATTCCTTGGTGTTACAGACTCGCCCAATACAGGACTCCAATGTGTCGTTATTCCCAACCCCCTGACTCTTGAACTGCCTCCGTCTGGTTCTTATGGCTGCAGATGAAGGATGCCCTCTCACCACTTTCTGCCAAAATGTGGGGCCCTACCTGGTCGAGTGCCGACACCTGCTTGGCTGTCCATGGGTCACAGTCTTTGTAGATGGAGTAGAGGGCCAGCCCACACAGTGCGGCACAGGCCATTATTGCCCAGAGTCCCAACAGGTTGATGTAGAGGGACCTGCATCGACATGCATGCAAACATGGAAACATGGATCACGTTAGAGCTCAATGTCCCACAAAAGACCCCGTCAGTGCCAAGCAAGCACACACTCATTCCTGCACTGAGGAGACCTCCTGGTTGGGGACTGCCTGCCAGCAAGGGAGTCACCATATGACTCCCAGCATTTCACCTGGTGTGAGATCACGGTTCTAAATGTACAAATGACACTTCTGGTATTGGTGGCACAGTCTGAGGCTCAGTCCCTGACAAAGCCTGCTCTGGAGATGATGGGAGTGATATGGCAATCACCATGTTTCATCATGTGTATGAGTTGTATAATGCAGGCAGCAGGTCAGAGGATTCTCCTTCCCCCATGCCACACCCCTTGACAAACCCTAAGCAGATTTATAAGGCGGGGTGCCCCAGATTCAAGTGTGGGATACCTTTTAGTCAGCACCAGCACTCCTGGAGCTATAGTGCAGGGCTTATATAATGCTGGAGTTGCCTTGTAAAGCTACAGATCTCCCATTTCCTCTTGAGACAGTCTCAGGGAGGCAGCAATGAGGCACTGGGACCTGGAACCTTGTCTGGAGCTGCCTATGGCTGCCACTTCCAGGAAACAGAGGTTTGTCAGCAACCTCAGGGCTTTACAACTAAACCCTTTAGTAACTAACCAACTTGGAGTCTAGTATCATCCAGATACCCCATCACCTTTCCACATCCTGAGGGGAGCTTCAGGTTCAGCTAATGGTGAGACCAGAAATGCCTTTTCATCAGGCATTAATGCTGCTTTTGCTGCACACAACAGGCAGTTTCTACTGGCAGTGAAAAACACATTCTTCTTCTCCTCACCCAGAGAGGGCTTTTGCCTCCCATCTAACTTTTCAATCTTCTCAAATGTTTCTATGCTCTTGGTGACTCCTGGATCACAAAGTTCTTTTCACCTAGGGTGGCCAGTTCAAGCAAACATACCCACTGGGAGCTTGGCCTTGAAAAACAGCGTTCCTTTCCAGCAGTTTCCTCCCAGTTATCTGTGTATCACTGATAGTGATTTAACTACCTGATAGACCACATACCCTGGACCTGTGCCAATTGCTAAGATCTCCTCTGGGAGGACTTTTGGTTTCTGTGTAAATACATCCATGCTTGCAATGCTTCAGGAGGCCTTTTAGTGCTTTTGATTCGTAAGAAGGTGAAGAGCACCAGTCTTTGGACTGCTCTAGAGGACCAGCAGGATGAATGAAGAGGTAAACCTAACTTTATAGGCCTTGTTAGGCGTTGAAATGGACATTCTCAGAATGGCATAATGTAGATTAACAAGTTGAACTATCAGTTGGCAAGCACAGTATAAGCTCTTAAATAAGACCTACACAAATAAAAGCTGATTTACACATAGTATGGGAAACTGCATTTTTGCTTTGTATTTGCTATTGGGGTGGCCTAAACACAGCACCAGCAGCCCTTTAAATTTCTCTCTAGCCTAATTTAGTAAAAATGAAGTAGTCTTCTTCTCTTAGATGCTTACACATTGTTTGGATGTCTTGCATCTATTTAGCTGAAGCTGTTCCTGCATTGGCATAATCTACACTGATATACAACACTCAGAAGCTGATTTAGCACAAAATTTAACGAATGAGCTAAATCAATCCAGCTCTTTTGAACAGATGTAATAGCAGAATCAGCCTAGAACCTCTAGCAAAGATTAGAAATACAAGAGAAACACAAGGAAGCAAAATAAATTGTTTGTCAGAATCCAGCAATTCTTGTTTTTAAACCGCATCAGTGTTTGGCAGTGAAAAGAGAGATGGTTTTTTCTTTCTGATTTACATCCTAGCTCATGGTACACCCTATGACTAAGCACTGGAGTATAATAATTGTAGCGCTGTTGGAGGGAGGTTTTCCCACTTATTCTGCATGAGTAACAAGGGGTGGAGTTTGGCCGAAGTAGGAACTGTGACTGTGTAAGGCTTATTTTCAGTCGTTTGTTTCAGTCTGGCTCTAAGACTTTGGCACTGAGGCATGCCAGATGGCCTTGAAAGGAAAGCAGAGAAAAACGTGTTAGTAACCCATATTTTTCTGCCAGTGTAGCTCTCCTGCTCTGAGTGCCTACTATGGTTCAGATAGAAGCGTTATGTTCAGTTTGGCTAGTGATTATTTGAGGACGACAGCATGTGCTCATACCTACTGGTGTGTTTCTTGAGTGGGGTGAAATCCTTTCCCAAAGCCTGAGAAAATTCCTATTCTTGTGTCACTGTTAAAGGCCTTCCCAAAACCTGCATCTGTGAAAGAATTATTTTCTCAGCTCTGCTTTATTACTGTGCTTTCTCTTACAAAACCTTACAGTAAATGTCATTGGGGTACAAAACCCTATTACTTTGACCTGATGACATATGGCACTTCTATGTACAGGTTAAATGGCAATAAGAGATATAGGCCAACAGCGTGACCTGCCAGATGTGTCTAATTATATTTGCAAATGAACTAGATAGTCACCACAGAATGGCATTGTTTATAGTTGTGACGAGCTGCAACCATTACACAAAATGATTTCTCCATGCAGGGGAAATATCCCGCACAAATGAAGCACAAGCAAGATGATGCCATGGAGTCCAACCACCCATGCCAGCAGGACAGGACTATACTGATTAAGGCTGTGCCACTGTTAGTATGGTATGAGCCATAAATCCCATCCAAACCCCTGCAGAAATAGATAGCCTCCAGTCCCAGTCAAAGCTGCCACAACAGCTCAGAAATCTACCCAGAAGCTGCGATGGTGCCAGATTTCCTTTAGTCACTCTCTGCTTCTGGGATGCCCTGGAGGTGTCTCTCCTTGCAAAGACAGTAGGGAGAGTGTGAGAGAGAGGCACAGCCTTACGTGGAGCAGGTGCTAGGGAAGAACAGCCTCACTGGCACACAAATCTGGCACAATGTATGTGGCTGTTCTCCCATATGCAATCATTCCAGGCAGCATTACAGATGTGGGATGTACCTCCTGCCTCTGTGGTGTCGAGAACCTAGAACCTACTCACGTGTCAGAGATTGTGGAGAAGCTATCTGGTGTGTTGGAGCTGTGGCAGTGAATGCTGGAGCTGTGCCTGATAACAAGCATCAACTCATTCCTGTCTGTAGCATGAATGGCTGAAAAGTAGATTTTCTTTATTGATGGGCATTTTGCTAACTTTATGAAGTGAAAGCCTTTATAAAACTCCTTCTCTTTATGCCACTGTACCATAGAATGTATAGGGACTATAGTTATGATGTGTGTTTCTATGTTTCTTCTAAAAATGGACTTCATGAGATCGCTAATAATTCTTAAATCCTGAGCTGTGAACTAATGGAATGATACTGAAGATAAAGGTAAAATAACAGATCTAGTAGGTATACTCCGTTCTAGAGTAAAGGCTCATCAGAAATGTTTACATTCAAAGAAAACAGAACCTTCTGCCAGTTTGCATAGTTAATTCTTAAAAAAAAGTCATGATTATTATGAACCCAAAATACACGATTCCTCAGCAATTTTATCACTGAATAAGACATTTCTGCATTTTCTCATGCCTATACTCATTGTTAAGGAAAAATTTTTTAATCTTTACTTACGCAAAATCCACACACAATGACTTAGGTTTAGTAGAACAGCAATTCAAAATACTGTCTTGATATGACTTCAGCACAAGTACTTTATATTTAGTCTTTAGGTTGGACATAAACTTAATGCACCTATTTCTATGCAAGAATACTGGGCACAGCGAAGCACTCAGGCGCAAAGTTCAATGTTACAGCAATCACATGTAATTCGAATACCAGTACTTATTGTGCCCATTTGTCTTCTACTGGTCCACAAAACAGAAGGCAAAAGTTGTTACACTTTATAAATGAAGTTTGTATGGACAAAAGAACCCCATGTTCCTTTTAGAAAAATCTCCCTTATAAAGAAGAGTCACTGCTAAATTCAGACAGTGACTGCAGGCAGACTTACAATTTTGCGTGGAATCTGCTTTTGCATGCAATGTATCTCTGGACTTGAGACTGGTTGACCCCATATATACCTGTCCACGTGAAAGTCCCACCTATAACAATTGTCCAGAAGGTGTGCCTTTGCAAAGGATTGGGATCAAAGCTACAATGAGAGGAAAAAGAGAAAACAAATTCAGAATATAAAATCTTGTTATTATGTGAAGACCTCATATGCTTAGAAGAAAAAATTACTCCATGCTTGTTCTAATACAAACTTGCTTAATTTGGCCAGATTTTGAACATTCAGATACTCTTATCTTTATGTGAAATCACAGAAAGCAAATTTTAAAACTCAGAGCTGATATCCTAAGCCAGTGAAACACTCCGATCTGTCCAAAGGTGAAGTTGGACAGATTTATTTGCCTATAAACTACAGTCTTAAGCAAAGTTCTATGATGCCTGTGACTGTTGTGATGAAATGATGCTCCAGTAAAAAGTGTAATATGCCTGCTTATCTAGAGGGACATCAGTCTAACACCAGTATAAAGGTGTGTTTGCAAGCCCAACCTTTGTGGACAGAGCCTCTGTAAAACGTTTTGCTAGTTTAGCTCTAAGTAAATAGCAGATTTTACGTGGCCATAAATAATTATTATTTTTAAATCACACTTTAATATAGAAATAAATTTAATTTTTGTGAATGTGGTAATACTATTTCACCTATTACATGCCTTTATTCCTTTTCTTTTTCCATCTGTGAATATATGATTGGGAGAATAAGCAATGCAGTATAACCACTGCAAATCAACCGAACAAATTGAAAAAAATTACTGTTCTCAAGAAGAAAAAAATACCCACAGATGAATTACTTACTGAAGAACTTGGTGAAAAATTTTACAGACCAACCTGATTAATATTGTGAACTGACAGACAAAGGAAAAATTGTAATACTTCTCGCACTAAACTTTCACTAATAGCATTTAGTGAAGTTTCTCAGAGGAATCATATATTCATCAAAGGTACAATAACCTGTTTACTTGAAGTGGTTTTTGATTCAACACTGTCAGATTGCATATTCTTGAACTTGTAAAATTATATTTTTAGGCTATGATTAGTTACAATAATGGAGGGTAAAATACTATTAAACATACGTAAGTATACACATATTAAATACTTGTATCTTTCAGGGAAAAGAAAAATACTTCCCTTTTGCAGATTAGGCCAAAACCATTATTTTCCCATTTGTTTTCATTCAGTAGCTCAAATGCCAAATCAGCTGTTTTCAAATTGCAAGTAAAAATACAACTGTCCTCTTCTATTCACCATTTTCTTTCAGTGGAATCCAAAATATATCCTTAAAACAACTACTTGACAAAGTAAAAAGGTTTTTCTCTTTACAAGATTTTGCATGGTCTAAAACATAAAAAATATCCCTCAAACTAGGTAAGCTTGTTTAAAAATATACAAAAATTGGGTCACAACTCCTCTCCCTTCAACAGCAGTTCCATTTCACAATCACATGGGCTCTATTTGTAGGAATAAAGAGGCACATCATCTGCAAGTACAAACTCACTCCCAGAAGTTTAATCTTCCACCATGGTAGGAATCATTTACAATGCGTCCAATTCCCTCCTGAACCACCACAGCTCGTATAATCACAGATGAAAATCCAGCAACCATGATTCCAACCTGGAAAACGTCTGTCCACACCACTGCCTTCAGACCGCCCTGCATGAGGAACAGCACATATCAGATACAACAGGGCAGCAGCACTCTTGCCTTGTACTCACATTCAACTAACAGAAACATTACTGTTCATATGATGTATAACAGATGAATTTCATCTTCTTTAACAGAACTAATTGTGTACTGCTGTCTTTAGGAATTGTATTCTGGAACCTATTCAGGACATCCTGGCCTTTTTTTTTGAAGTGCAATAGCATTTACTTTGGCCATACACATAGTTTAATCCAGTATTTTCTTCATCACATAGCCTGATTCAGAAGTTTGTAGCAAAAGATAAACTTGCAGACAGTGCTCATCTTACTTATATATATTCAGTAGTACTAGTTCCAGAAGGTATACCATTCATGGAATAAAAATACACATGATTTAATCCAACACTTGGTCAATTAACACTAATTTGAAGACCAATCTGTTCATGTGGCACGTGCTATTTTCAGTGGCTCTATGCAATAACAGACAGGACTGTTACAGTTGCAATAAGAGGTTGTTTGACAAATTACAAATTGACAAATTACACAGCAAAACTCTGCTAGATCAGAAGAAAAATCACAGGATTTTTAGGAAGGGAAATCTACCTTTTTACTGTTCTTTCAGCCACAACAGAAGTTTGAATGTATCAAAACAGAAAAGGTTTGAGTCACATAGTGATTGCCAATGCATCCAGAGATGCCCCCTGGGTGAATATGGCCCTCTGGCCACATCTACACTCTGAAATGTACTTCCAGGTTGTAACCTGATTACTAGGCCGCTATCTAATAAATTCCATATTTGATGTGAGCAGTGAAAGGAACAGCGATTTTTCTCAGCCAAAGGGCCCACATACCAGCGTGCAGTAGAAAGTGCAGACCACGCCAGTCGCCACCACTGCACCCCACAAGTCGAAACCAGTGACTGAAAGAGAGGGAAATGGCACCAACATGAATGAGGCACTGGGGACAAAACACTGAAGGTTGATTTTTCACCCTCAAAGTCATTGCTGAAAAAAGTTAGAAATAAGTTAAATGCAGAGGTAGGAGGTAAAAATGGCAATGAAAAGATTAGTGTGTCTAAACCAGGAGATTTGGCCTAACCAGTTCTAAAAATGAAACAGTTGTAACAGATTTGGAAACTGCTAAAAAGTTAGATATATTTCAGGATCTAAGAAACTATTCGTCATTAATGTGAACACTACCAGACAACACATCCAATATGTTTGTAGGTCCCAACTCAGGAAGATTTTAAAATACATGTCCTTCCTTGAAGCACCTGGGTAGCACTACAGCGCCCCTAGGCAGGGATTTATGCAAGTAAACAGAATAGGTGTTCTCCACGGAGGCAAGGTCGTTCAAGCATGGTCTGGAAGAAATGCATCAGACTAAAAGCCTTTTTTTCATTCTTCTTTCTCTTAAGGGTAGTATATTTACACCATCCAACACTGTGCTGTGGATGACATACAGGCTGTTACTGCCCCAGCTTGGCATGCTTGTGTGGTGGCAGGCAAGGCATCAGGGGACTCCCCAACAGACAGTTCAGGCTAATGAGAACCATGGCAATGAAACTAATGAAAAACGTAAGTTCTTCTAGTTGGGAGTTAGCTAAATCATAGCTATGTATATGCAAGGCATATACAAACATCAAAGACATAAAACCTGTGAATTCACACACTGGAGAAGACCAGTACAGACAGTGTTGTGGGTTTTTTTCCAATTTGTTCAAGCAACAAGCCAAAAAAAACATCCAATGAGCAGAAAAACTGTGACTTGATTCTAGCCAAAATGATTAATTTTTAATTTGCATTTTATCATTCCCTTTTCTTGCCAAACAGACAAACTAATTGTGTCAGATTAAAAGTTTATTTGGCTCCATACAAAAGCTTTTTACTCTTTTAGAAATAAATGTGGTTTGTTTTCAAAGCAAAAAGTCACTGTGAAGCAGAAAATGGAAATATTTAATTTTGTAAATATCACAACAAATATCTTAAGTTGACAATCTCTTTTCTGTTGGTTTGGTTTTCCTGGCAAAATGAGAGACCACATTAAACATTTCCAGGAAGTCCAAAACCATATTTACAGAACTTTTGCCTCGCCCTCATCTTGAAGAAGAGCACTTAACCAGAGGAATTAATTTCATGTTTAGTGTCTGCATTGCCTTCAAAATTTACTTAAGCCTTAACTTTTCTGAATGTGCCCATTAACTACAGGTATTGCATCAGAGGTAGAGCAAATGAGTGGAGGTTTTCTTCTAAATCTTTTCTGTAATTCCTTACAGGTAGGGATTAAGGGACTAGGATTACAGAGTTGCCATCATAAGATTTACAGTCAAGACTTGAGCTATATTTTCAGGTGTGCATTACCAAAAAAAAAAAAAAGGATACCAGTACTATATGCAGGAAAAAAAATATATCAGTAGAAGAACAGTTGCAGTATATTCATCTTACCTTGATTTAGTGCTAAAGCTGGAGCATAAATGACAATACCAGTGTATAAAGTCTAGAAGGAAAAAGAAGATTAAAGATCAAAATAAATGTAAATTCCTGGAAAGGTGATAGCTTCCTGAGATTATTTCTTTTCAAGCACTTAGGTAGTCTATATTTCCTAAATTTGTAACTGTTGGCAAATAATTCCAATTAGAAGATGAATGACTGAGACTAATAAGCTCTGCAGTCTCACAGCTAAGTGTTACTAAAACAAATACCAGGGACTCAAATACAAAATCCCTCTTCATCTTCTCCTGGATTTCATAATTAACTTATTTTATTCCTTTAAAACTGCAAAAGGAAACAAGAGGAAAAGAAAGTTAATGAGGTTTACACGTGGTTTGCCAAGGAACCTATTACTATCTATTTTCTCAGTCTTGGGATCAATATGCCTTTCAGTATACAGCTCTAATGCATGTGAGTAAGAATACAAAATACAACAGCAGCTAGTTGTTACAGATAGTATTATAAGGAATTATAACCTTCATCCTGTGAGATGAAGCCATACATGATTATCACCTGTAAGATGAAGCCATACATGATTATCAGCAGCTTTATATTTTCAGCCACAGTAAAGATACAGACAAATCAAGTAGCTACTCCACCTACTTTTGTGGTCACAATGGGATTCATACACTGATATCCTCTACAATTTCTTTGTGTATATTTTTAAATCCTGTTTCCTTTTTTATCGCTGTTATTACTGCCCCAAGTTCAGCTGTGATATGGGTCAGAAGAATATAGCTTGCAATGTGCAGATGACTTCTGTGAAGGTCAGTGGTCTTGATTCAAAAGATCTAGATCACAGACAGTCCTGAGCTGACTTGCATCAGCTTTCCATGGCTGGACTCTTCTGACTCCCTGATTTACAGCGGTGAGACTTGGGCATGGAAAAACAGCAGAATCAGATGTCATCCAGGATTCAGCAAGCCTCTGCCCTTCCTGCAAGTGTGGAGTCTGCCCTAGGCACTAGTGGTAAACCAGAGCAGGATTGCTAACCACTGGATTACTTGCTGTGTCTTTTGAGCAGATCAAATCCAGTCCCCAAGGTAGAGCTCTACCAATGGCCAGTGGCAACGCTGGGGACAGAGCCAAGAGGTAAATGGAAGGAGCAGTGCTCCAGCTATAGGAGGAAACTAATATGGAGAAGCTGCTTCACCCAGTCTAACCTAATTGTGCTGGGCCCCTGATGCACACCTGATACAAGCACATGCCAGAAAGGATAGTGAGGCCATTGGGGAAATAGTTATTCCTACCTGTACTCTACTCCCTGCCTCTGTGTGTCCATGCTTGTTTCTCTCACTGCCATGAGTCCTCTCTAGATTTTCATATATAGCTTGTATTACAAGAAAGCTGCCACTCCTGACCAGTCCCTGGTGAATATATCCTCAGAACCAGATGCATCACTTCACAGGCAGCTGTTGACACCTGTCAAGCCCAGTCAGTGTTGATTTGCAGTCCATATAGTGACTGTCAATATGTGCTGCTGAGCCATAGAATCTTAGAAGGGTTTGGGTGGGAATGGTCCTTTAAACATCCAGTCCAACTCCCCTACCGTGGACGGGGACACCTTCCACTAGATCAGGTTGCTCAGAGCCCCACCCAGCCTGACTTCCGAACACTTTCAGGGATGGGGCATTGCACTACTTCTCTGGGATACCTGGTCCAGTGTCCCACCATCCTTTTTGCAAATACATTCTTCTTTATATGCACTCTAAATCTACCCTCTTTCAGCTTAAAACCATTACCCCTTGTCCTGTCACTACGGGCCTTGGCAAAAAGTCTCTCTCTGCTTTTCTCATAACCCCCCTTTGAGAGGCTGCAATAAGGTCTCCCCGCAGTCTTCTCTTCTCCAGGTTGAACAATCCCCATTGTTGGCTGCAACACTTTGGATGCAGTCATCAAGCCAATTCTTTTCCCTTCTACTGCTAATTCAAAGGATTCAGCATGAGAACTTATGGCTTTCTCATACACAGCAAATAAGTGCCAGAACCATCAGAAATTAAAATTTGTCACAACTACAGTCACATTTTGGTGTAAATTTAAATAGGACTGATACAATCTTGCCAATTCCTCAGTAGGTTTTTGTTATTGTTGTTGTACTACTACATATCCTTTTCTTTTCCTTCTTTTACTTATATCCCAATATTCACAGAAGAGTTAAAATTACACCATTAAAATCTTGGGAGGTTTTCTTTCCTCAAAATTGTTTTATTTATTCAGGTAAAGTTGTTAGTGCTTAATAGAGAAAGCCACCTACCGATCTTTAGTTAATTTCCTTGAGCACATATTTAAGTTCCATAGAATCATTTTTCTGATTTTTGAAAGCAAAGATTATGCTTAGCTTGTTCCAAGTTACGCAACTGTGATGTCTTCACATATGCTGATGAAACAGTGTCAGGTTTCACACATGCTAGCACTCTAGTTTTCCTATGGGCTTGTGTATCCATAAATGCCAGCTAAGCAGCACTGCTCAAACAAGTAATGAGCACTGCATTGAGAACCATCTTATTGGTGTGTGCGATTGGCCTGTAAATTCTGGTGTACCTTAAAAAATTTTAAAAACGGACAGAAAGCAAGCTTATTACTTAAAAAGCTTTCTGATTGCATATTCATTCTTACTCCGAATTACCCCAAAACTCAACTTCAAAATTGTGAAAAGAACACATCTTAATTTCTGGTGCATTTGGCACACCCTGACATTTACAAGCTGTGGTCTCATACTGACTGTCTGAATGGACTAGACACAGAAAACTGTACCAGTAATAATTTCAGGGACTGCTTTAGTTTAACATTCCCAAGGGCAGCAATTTTCTACTTCTCAGTTTGCAGATACCTAGTTTTTTTGCAGTGGTGGTGGTGCAAATCCTTGCGGAGTAAATGACAGCTCCTGACAGCTTGTTTTATCACCTTTCACAGACCCTTGGAAATTAGTTAGACTCCAAGAATCCACACACCAGAGGATGAAAACTGCCACTGTAGATAATTGGGACATGTTTATATTTTGAACCCATTGTGGGTTTCTCCAGCAGGCAGGCGAATGACTGCTCTTCACACTGCTACCCTGCAGTGAAGGGTCGCTCGTCTCTTAGCATGGTGCTAATGTCAAGTGACTGCTCAGGGTATTCAACAGTGCACACAGAGACCCGAGAGTCAGGTAGCCCAGCATCTGCTCTGCCTCTCACCACTTTGGAGCAGAAAGGACTTTGTTTCTCCTGCTCCCAGCCACCCAGGCACTCTGGTAACCTCATCAACTGCTCAGAGAAAACAGCAGTTACACTCAACCAAATAATTCCGGTGGCCCTGAGGACCACAGAACAGCTTCAAGGTTTACTTGCCGTTTGTATAATGAAGAGGACCGTTCCACAGAGGCGTAGATATTTATTAAATCGAAGTTCTAAATACTGCAAAAGAGAAGAAAATACAAATGTTTATATTGAAATTTGACACTATTGATAGGAATGAATCCATCACTTCACTAGAATGAAGCGATAAGCAACAAAGAAAGAGCATAGCATTGTTTTTACATTTGCATGAATGGCCAAAACTCGTAGAGTCACCCTGATGGATAACTCTTTCAACTTGATTTGATATCTTTTTACAGACCTCACCACGGGTAATAACACAAGAAAGTGAAGTAGACATAAGCTACTCAGTATACAATGGAGTCTACAGAAAAGACCAGGATATATTATCACAAAATCATTGACTATCCTGAGTTGGAAGGGACAAAAATCCACAAGAATCAAGTCCAAACAACAGCAAACAACAAAACCCAATTGTGTTGTGAAATCAGAGAGAAAAAGAAAACATTGTGGCTATTTCTAAGTCTAAGTCGATTTGGAAACTCTGGCATATTATGTGTATCCACCTAAACTGCTGCAGAGAGAGGGCAGAAGGTTTTCAGCGGTAATCTCACCTTTTGCGCTGCCCAAGGCAGCCTGCCATATTTTACTAGTAAGTCAAAATTCAGCCGCCTGTGAAACAGAAATCCTCATTTTTTCTGTCTAGCCTGGGACAACACAATCTCTGAATGAGTTTGTCATGCTGTAGGACAGATTTCTTCCCACTATCTGTCCTAACAACCTTCTTGGTGTGTGGTTGTACAAGAGGCATCTCATTTGCCTGACAATCTGTTCAATCGACACAAACACTGAAGCATCTCAAAGTGCTCACTTGTGAACTGAGCATTTAGAATGTGATCTGTGAGCATGTTCACACAAGGAAGCAGTCCCGAACCCCTGGACACACACAAAAAGTTGTTAGAACTCTGAACTCTGTCCAGAAATAGAAGATGTATCTTTTATAGGTGCATTACTCTGGTTTAACCCCAAGATAATCAGTGAGCTTCCAGTCATAATTATAAACCTTTATTTAAAAGAGCCCTATTTAAGTATCATCGTGACAGTCCAAAGATTAGTAGTTTAAAACACATTGGAAGCCACCAGAGATTTCTGTTGGTGGATCCTTATCTAAATCTACCAACAGAAATCTTGTTTTCAGCCTCCAGTGCTGCAACACCTCTGTTCAGTGTAATAAAATGCTAAAGATCAAAGTAGCTAGTCAAGGATTTTCACCTGCACCGATGCTCCTTTCCCAAAGTCCTCTGTCAAAAGAGCAGTTTGCCTCCAAATCTGCAGCTATGAACTACCTTCATGCAGGAAGATAAAGAGGTTGCACCAATGTTCTGAATCAGAAGAAAATCCTGACCAGATGCTTCCCCACCCCAAAACAGTCAGACTTGACCTGTGATTGTCCCACCGCCCCAGGTGTCTCTGCCCTGATGGCTATAGGTTTAACTTACAGGCTGAGCTGAAGACCAGCTCAGCCTTATTTTGGTGGAAGTAAGAGAACGCTCACAGACACAGAACACTTGCTGACTTCCCTGTATATGCACGATGAAGACATTCAGTGGTGTAAACAGCCTCAGGTGGCAAGGAGTGTCCCTAAAATCTCTAGGAACAGCACAGATACATACTCTGCCAAAAGGGGACTTTTGTGGTTACACCTAGGCTTAGAAACCAATCTGAAGGGAGCATGATGTGAGAACTCTGGTTCCTATAGTAGGTGCTCTTGTGCTCTGTCTCGGTATATTAATTACACATGATTAATGACATGTCACCATCCAAGCTGCACGAAGATTAATCCACCTACTGAACTGAGTATCTGGAGTGAGGAAACAAATCTGGCATGACGCACAGCTCCTGAGCCAAGACAGCAGGGTTGAGCATCTCCTCTCTGCAGAGACAGTGTGGGCAGACTTGGGGACAGAGCCGGTTGCAGCCTGCTCTCAGGAGTGTGGTGACACAGGAGAGCAGATAGTGCAGGGGATTTGCAGGAAGAGATGGAGGACAGACATGTAGAAGCAGGCATGAGATCCCCCCAAGCTCCCTAAAGGCTGGGGAAAGGTTCCTTCCACTCAACCTTACCTCATAGGTGCTGGTAATGCCCAGCCTGTAGAAGACGGGCAGGAAGATCTCGGCACTGCACAGCACCACCAGGCAGTAGGTGATGGCAAAGACGCAGAAGATGGCACCATAGCGATAGATTTCGGCAGGGGTGCCCAGCACGGTGACGGCTGACATGAAGCTGGCAGTGAGGGACAGTGCAACCGGGAGGGCACTCATGCTGCGGCCTGCCGTGAGGAAGTCCTTTGATGTCTTCTGCCCCCCTCCCACGAAGGCGTAGTAGACCCCAATGACGGCTGAGATCAGCAGCATGGCCGCAAATACCACATAGTCCCAGACGGTGAAGCGCGCCATTCTACCAGAGGGATTCACCCTTGGAGCCAAGGATCTGCCCCAAAATTAGAGGGGCAGCTGCTGCCCCCTCAGGGCTGGCAGAGAGCGGCCTGAGCAGGAGGAAGCAGATGAAGACGGGCCCCAGGGAGGTGCCCCCCGCCGGGACCGCTCAGGGGCGGTGCGGTGCACACCACTGGGACAGAAGCGGAGCGGTGCTGTGCGCTGCGGTGTCCCCCGACGGGGCAGGTGCGGAACGGTGCGATGCGCACACCGGGACAGAAGCAAAGAGAGGCGGGCTGGTGTCCGCCGCCGGGACAGGTGCGGTGCGGTGCGGTGCGCCCCGCGCAGGTCTCCACCGTGTGTCTGCTGGGGCGGGAGGGGGAGCGGGCTGCGCCGGGAGCGGCAGCGCGAGTGTCGGAGCCGGGACGGCGGGCGGGCCTTATACGGTACCGGTGCCCGCTCCTCCCCGTGGCGGTGCGCGCCCCCGCGGAGCGAGAAGGGGCGGTGATCCCCGCAGCGTCCCGGCCGGGCCGTCCCGGGCCATCGCAGCCCGCCCCGCGCCTCCGGGCCCTGGGGCGCCCAGGCTTCGGGATGCGGCGCCAGGACAGAGCTCCGCCTGAATGGGGTTACACTGCAAACTTGAATCGCCGTCCAGGGCTTTTGGAGGAAAGAATTTCACTTGAATTTCCCCAGGATAGGGAACCTACCCTTCCTCGTTAGCATAGGCCACCATCTCCCCAAATGAAGAAGGTTAAAATATGGTTTAATATATACATTTCCATGGGTTGAGCAATCTGGAAGGTAACTCACTGAATGAGAATTACCAAGGAAGTTGCTGAACATTGAAGTTGCATAACAGGGAAGCCCCATTACCTGCACTGTGCTCACGTTTTACTTAAGAGTCTTCAACTAATTGCAGGTTCAAGAGTCAAAGTACACAGGAATATCAGAAATGGAACTTCACATATCTTACCCACAGAGGAATACATCAAAAACACCTGTGGGGTTTGAAAGCCGTGGATGCCAAGCAGTGGAGATGTGCCCGTTCCTATAGCTAGCAGCACACACAGGACTGACACAGCAAATACCACATTCGCCACTTTGCTGTATATCAGCAACCTCAGATGTGGAATGAAGGTGAAAGGATGCCAAAGTCGACTTAGATGAGCTTGACAGCAGCACAGCCACACACAGCAGCAGGGCTCAGAAGCTTTGCACAGTATCTTTCATCTTGGGCTGTGCATTGGCATAGTGCTATGCTAGAGGTGATTTTCTGGGAAAAGTCAGTACCAGCTTGAGGACCATAAATTCCTGTTTCCTTTCATGGAAGGTAGATTAAGCCTCCTTCCTGCCCAGCCTTTCCTGGCTCTTAACCACAGCTGGATTTACTGGAAGCAGTCTTTGCTGCAAGTGCTCTGAGTTCAGTTCAAGGCACTCTGACCTGCCTGAATCTGACCCTTCTGAGATGTGGTTTTCAGCAGCCTTCTGTATTTTAAAATAGAAATGAATGATCAGACACCCAACAGCCAAACACAGATCATGGAGCACTGCTCTCTCCTGGGAGCTCTGGGTTTGGCAGGCCTTTTGGAGTTACTTCTGAGTGCATGTTGAAAGGAGAGGGTGCAGGTAGAAATCTGGTCTGGCAGAATTATTAAGCTGAGCTGTGAAATCATGTCTGTGTTGTTCTGGACTCTAGATGCCTATCTGGGAGTGTAAATGTCCCCGAACAGACAGAAGCTGTCCACTGTGGTGCAAGTGGCATGTCCTAATCTCCCCATGGCAGGTTAGGGCATCAGTCTCTCTGGCCCAGTTACTCTCTAATTACTTATACGATGAGTAACAGCTTCCAGATGTCCTGCTGAGAAAGACCAAGAAAGAAACTTATCGACTACACCTACCAATTAGGCGTTGATTTATTGATCATCTGAGGTGGTTGCCCTAAATGAGCCTTTGACAATGTGAAAGACGTGAAACCTTTCCAGCAAAGTTTCATTCAAAACCAGAACCTTCCACTCAGTGCAATGAACTGCTGTTGTCTGGAAAAAGTATTTGTTGTCAAAAAACACAACCCCTTTCTCAAGGGAAGGACATAAACAGGCTCTTGCCCAGACCCACTGCTTGTGCTGCTCAGAGCTTTCTGCTCGGTGTCCCTTGTTTGCACTCTTTCAGGAATCATGTTGCTGAAACCATTCAAACAATAACATGCATTTAAAGTATTAACTACACAGGATTAATACAGTTTTGATTCTGCTTCTTTATCACTTTTGACATGATGTAAACACAGCAAGTGATAACACGTATTGGAAAACAAACCATGTTTCTTAACTGAAACACAAGCAGCTATGAGGAAATGCACATCACTCTGGTTTCAGGTGGTATCTTTGGTTCTTTTAACAGTAGTGTTAAGCAAATTGTCTTTCAAATGTCATCATGACCAATACAGCAAGAAAGGCTGGATGTTTCCATTTTTGGAACCAGCAGTGAATCTGTGTGATGTCCATGTTCTAAATCACAGGAAGTGGTCCTGGAGAACAGGACTAAACGTTTTTCTTCTGGATTTTTCACACATGGAATCAAATTAGCTGTGTGGAGTTGTACTGTGTAACAAAGACAGAACTGCAGATATTTGCTTTTTCTCATTGCTACGATTAGATACTTAAATGTCTTCAGAGCATATTTCATTGTCTTCTTGTAGCACCCTACCCCATCTCCACTGGGTCTTATGTGGTCTCTCACCTCACTGCCTGTGTGATTCTGTTATTGTGAGATCCACTAACATCCCTGGGATTCAGTGTTTAATAGCACAAAGTGTAAGATTCACATTTCTCCAGCACCCTCGAATTAAAAAGGACATGAATCTGACTAAACAAACCCCAGACTGCCTAAGGGGTCCAAACAGTTCCTTTCTTGTGATGGTATTGGTCTCATTTCCATTACTGGACACCTCTGTGAGGTGTTACTGGAAGTGTCTCTATTGCTTGGAAGGACAGTCCCTCCCTGCTGCTTTCCATATGGATGGACCACTGCATTGGGAGACCGGTGGGATGGATTTCCTTCTATAGATAAGACAAATATATTGAGCCCTTGGAGAGATGCTGCCCACCTCTCTGAACTGAGTTGTGGAAATAGATTTTGAGGAATTCTCCTACTTGTAGGCAAATGTGGGCGTGGGCAAAACCAACTGTAAGTGAGGTAGGATAGCACTTGGAGGCCTGGTGACCACTGTTCAGCAGTGACTCAAGACCCTTTGCAATTTGCCCTGGCAGCGTGAGAGCTTTCTAAATTCCAGTAATTCCTTGCTTGAGTATGCAGTTTCAGACTATGTGGGGTTCAGCGGTACCTGCACCAGCTGAGCTCAGTTTGCAAATGAAGAGCAGTTCAAGCTCAATTTTACTCCTGTAAAACTGAGTGCCAGGACTGGGTCTGGAAGACTGAACTCTGTTCTCTTCTGCTTACACACAGATCACCTTGGAAACCTTGCCAGAGAATGACTGGCTGTAGGTAAAAACAAACAAAATAATTTCAAAACAAAATCTGCAAAAACTAATTTTTGGGCTTTTTGTACTCTATTTGGGCTTTTCTGGGAACACCATTATGATTTGTCATTTTGAAAAACCCTGTTTATTTTTGTTTGGATGATCTGTTAGGAAATGAGGGGTGTGGGATTATGCTCTCTGTGTATACATACATGTGTGCATGTGGAAAGTGTTTGTCCTTCATCCAATGACCACAGCACACCATGACCAAATCTACAGAGAGGCTGAGGCCTCGGAGAGACTAAAGAACTACCAGTTGCATTAAAGTAGATGGAGGAAAAAAAAGAGGGATCCCATAAATGTTCTTATTGAAAGGAGGACTGCAGCAGGAGCACTAAACCTCTGTTAGGTAATGGTGAAACCATCCGAGAGGAAGACTTTAAAAACACCCAACTGCAGGCAAAGCTTCTCATCTTCTTAAGTACTAAGACACAGGCATATGGGGATCCAGGTTCCATCTACTCCTCTGTTCATGGAGCTACCTGTTAAATTTCCTTTACATCATAGTTATTGTTAAGAACAACATATCAAAATTAATCACTGACTCCTAATTAAACAGTCTGACTTTTCTCACAATGCAATCCTTCAAGTCAAAATGCACTTCTTTTACTTATGGTAGATTTGACTTGCAGCAACTGTTTCCTGCACAGTACCACTAATCATCTTGAGAAGTCTGCTTGCATTTTGATGTAAAAGAAGCTGATTTCTGATGGTGTTTCATATTTCTGAAGATGCGTTAGTGTTTGGCTACACCCTAATCTCTTCTGCTTGCTGTGCTTGTCCATACACTGCTGTTTTGAATTGCTGAGCTTAGTATAGTTAAGCCCACCACCATCACTGACTTTGCTTCTTCTCTCCTGATTTAATGCTACTGTCATGGTTTAATCCCAGCCAGCAGCCAAGTACCATGCAACCACTAGATTACCGCCTGCCCCCACCCCCACTGTAGTGGGGAAGAGAATTGGAAAAAAAAGAAAAGTAAAACTTGTGGCTTGAGATAAGAACATTTTAATAAGTGAAACAAGATAAAATCTAATAATTATTATTATAAAAATTATAATAATTACAATATCAATTTGAACGGAAAGGAGAGGGAGTGGGATAAAATCCAAGGGAAACAAGAGACGCACAATTGCTCACCGCCTACAGACTGATGCCCAGCCTGTACCTGAGTAGCATGTTCTGGCCAACTCCCCTGGGAATGGAGTTCTGTGGTATGGATTAACCCTTTGGACAGTTTAGATCAGCTGTCCTGACTGTGCTCCCTCTCAGCTTCTTGTGCATCTGCTCACTGGCAGAGCAGGGGAAACTGAAAAGTCCTTGACTTAGGGTAAGCACGCCTTAGTAACAACTAAAACATCCATGTGTTACCAACACTAGTCTCACACTACATTCAAAATGCAGCACTGTACCATCTACTAAGAAAAAAATTAACTATCCCAGCCAAAACCAGGGCAGCTACCTTAGAGGAATCTTCCACAGTTTTATTTAGTGATTTTCATACCCGTCTGTTTAATTATTTT